GAGTGGCCCAGGTCCCAAGAGAATACTATAAATACAAGATCTTCAATCCTAAAGAGGTATGTGAGAATTATTGTGCTTAAACTTAGAATACAAGCTTCCTCGAGTGTAGATACTAACTTGCCCGTCGGAATGCTAATTCCGGCACTTTCGACCGGAGTGTTTATTCTTTTTCAAATGACCAGAAGAGGATCACGAGCGTTCCCCAGGATCCTGAAGAGTATTTCCAAACCACTTCCCCACAATCTTTTTGTAGCTAAAATAGTCCAAAAATCACATGCTAAACATAGCTTAAAATAGTTTATTCCCAAATCAACCCTTACTCTTTAAATAAAAGTGGAAAACTTATCGGTATGTCTCATATATAAAATTCAAAACTCATCTACTCTCAATACAAAATACTTTCACTAATTAGGGGTGGCTTGGCATGATCTAAATAAGTACACTTTTTTACTTTTTGTGAAATATGGGTTGAGTTTGAAGTGATGTGATAGAAAAGTGATGTGACTTAAATAAGATGATGTGACTTAAATAGGATAGTGACTTTTTAACTTTTTAACTTTTTTAAAGTACCCCAAACAAGACCTTAGTCTTATATATTTTTAATTGTTATTAAAAAATCTCTTTTTTTTAAATGAATTTTTTTTTAAAGACGTTGCTACATTCCACCACCGTTGAACTTCGGTCAAACAGTTATTGGAAGCTCATTGGAATGTTCAACATTACTAGGAAATTGTCGAAATATCGTCGAAAATGTATTGAAGTATCATCGGAATGTTCTAAACGTGGTTTAGTGCTTTGGTTCATATTGATTTCAAATTTTCATGGCTTAATTTGGTTTCAAATTTGATGAAACCGTAAATAATGAATTGGTCTTGGTTTATGGCTAAAGGCTAAATTGAACAAATTCGAACCATGCTCGATTCTAATTTTAACAAACTAAAAGGGAAAACGCTCTTACTATGTGCCAAATTAATAAAAAAAAATGGCAATAATTCAATGAATTTTTTGGCGAAGTCAAATTCTGTTCTTAAGAGAATATTTGTACTGCTACATCTACTGAATTTTGCTTTGTTCGAATTGTCTACCTGGTTAGAAGATATTCATTCAGATAATTCGGACAAAACAAAATTCGATAGATCAAACATTATCCAAAGAATATATTTAACAAATCACAAAAGTTTTCAGCAACAATCTGATAACTTTCTAGCCAAGTAATTTTTTTAAAATAAAAAATAAAAAATACATATATTCAAAAATATCACACAATTAAATTTCATTGTATAAAATTTTTGAATATTTATTTTGCAAATTTCACTTATTGATTAGTAAAATTTCATAAATTTAACGTAGTGAAATTATGTGAAAAATCTAAATTTCACATATTGGTTAGCGAAATTTCATAAATTTAACACATTGCAAATTTTTAAAAAAATTCACTTATTAATCAATAAAATTTCATAAATTTAACACAATATGAAAATTTTTACTAACTGGTTAGGGTTGGTTTGGGAAGTGGGTTGACTTTTTGACTTTTTTTTATTTTTTTGGCTATTTTAACTTGGGCTAAAAAACTTGGTTTGGGAAAGGCTTTTTGACTTTTTGGCTTTTTTGATTTTTTTTGTGAGAGAAGAGTGTAATGATTATGAGTTGGATGTGATGTTTTGTTTTTTGTGGCTAAAATAGCCTATTTTGTCTTTTATGACTAAAATAGCCAAAAAAACTCCTAACCCAACTTGCCAAACGGAGGCTAGTGAAATTTCATACTAGCTGCATGAGATTGGCCCTGTTTGGTAGAGCTGTGAGAAAGTGCTTATAACTTATATCTTAACAGTTTATAGCTTATAACTATGAATATAAGCTGATTTCTGATTTATAAATTAAGCTTCTTCTGCCCCACTCAAAGAATAAGCTGATTTCTGACTTACAAAAAGCTATAAGCTATAAGCTTTAGCTAAACCAAACACATCAAAATAGCTTAAATTAAGCTGAAAGCTGAAATAAGCTGAAAAAAAAGCTGTACCAAACAGGGCTATTGTACTATTTGGACAAAGAATATGAGAGAAAGAAGACAGAACAAAGAGAGATAAAAATAAGTAAAAATATAAAGACAATGTGATACATAAATATACATACATACAAATCTGTATCGATGAAGAAGGTGGTCATAGCCATTGCAGAACACTAGAGTTGTTGGTAGGGAAAAAATAGTAAAGATTTGGATCAACAATGCATGAACGGTGATTGTCAAAGAACAAACAGTTGTTTGTAATGGCGAATGACGAATAGTAATCCATATCTGAACTATCGAGGTCCAAACGACGATAGAGGTGACATTTTTTAATGGCGATTAACGATCAAAAGAGCGATGCTGAGCAGTGGTAGGATGACGTCGGTAGATGGTAGTTGATGGTAGAGATTGTGATAGTAGAGAAAGAAATAAGAGAGTAAAGAGAGAGAGAGAGAAAGAGTTGTGAAGACAATAACTTGGTTTAAGGTTTGTAAGGGTTTCTAAAGATATTTTTTTACAATTTATGGCTTTTTTTTTTTTTTTTGTTGGGTGGGTTTTAGTATATAAAAATATTAGGTTTCAGTGTAATTTGATTACAAAAGAATATAGAGAAAAATATAATAAAAATATCATAAGGTTCAGAAATTAATATTGAGTAATGGGCTCAAAAGCTTAGTTTGGGAAGGACTTTTGGCTTTTTGGCTTTTTTTATTTTTTTGTGAGAGAAGAGTGTAATGATTATGGGGTTGGATGTGATATTTTGTCTGTTGTGGCTCATGAGCCTATTCTGTCTTTTATGGCTCATTGAGCCAAAAAAGCCCAATGAGCCCTTGCCAAACCAACCCTTAGTAAACAAAATTTCAATATCTCAAAACTCTAACACAAACCTATTGAAGGGCATGTTACTAATTATTCTAATAATAAATGGATTAGATTACTACTGAGATAATTATGACACGAACCCGAAATGACACAACTTAACACCCATCCTTAACTACAACACCTCTAGTGACTCTTCTCCTTCACTCCGTTGCCTTTGTCTTTACGATGCACCACTTTCTTTTCCCTTCCACCACTACAACTCACTTAGTCCTTTTCTATGTATTATTTTTTATTCTATTTCTGTTTCAATTGATCTTTCTCTCTCTCTCTCTTTCTCTATCTCAGTCGCGAAGGTGGCGAAGTGAAGGCTAGGGTTTGCAATCATGGCAAATGACATAGCAACAAGGGTTTGCGATTATGAAATTAGCGATGACTAGGGTTTTGAGATTGCGATTACGATTGCGATTGTGACACGGGTAGCAGAATGAAGGGTTGCAATCAATTGAATGGGAAATGAAAGGGGTGATGACCATATAGAAGAATCAAGAAAAAGTAAGTAGTGGCGTGAGATGAAGTTTATGGACTTGAGATGAAGATTATGGACTTGCCAGAGATTGAGGAGTGCAGGAATATAAGGAAATGGGTTGCCATAAAGGGAGGAGGTTGCTAAAGGTAGATATGGAAGATTAAGTAGTTGCAGCCTTCTTGAGAAGAGTGAAAGGTGTGAAAGGTTTTACATAGCATAATTGGTGTTATGGTGGGAATCAAAGGAGATGGGGTTGGAAGTAATTTTAGTGGGTGAGATCCAAACAAATGGGGAGCTTCTATATGTACACACCATATCCCCTCTTCTCACACACGTAATGAGAGAGTGTGTTGGAAAGTTGTATGTGAAGGGTGTGCGAAGGATGTGTAGAGAGAGAGTGATGTGTGTAAATAGATGCTCCCAAACAAATGGAAGGTCCAAAAGAAGAGGACGGGAGCAAATTAGCAGCAGTTGGAAAAAAAATAAAAAACAAACAAACAAAAAAACTAACCGAATGTTATTATTTGTCCCATTTAAGGATGGTTTGAGATTTGTTTAGTTTAGTGACTTTTTAATTTTCTATAAAGAAGTTTTTTAAAAAAAAAAAAAATTTATAATAAGTAAATAAATAAGTATACTCATTTAATACATTTTTCACGAAAAGTCTTATTTGTTATAACTTAAAAAGTTAAAAAGTCAAAAAATCACTATCCTATTCAAGTTATATTATATCATTTAAATCAATTACCTCTCTATCATATCACTTCAAATCCAACTCATATTCAACTCATATTTTATAAAAAATTAAAAAATGTACTTATTTATAATTTAAAACATTTGATTAGCAGTCTAGATCTTATTACTTATCTAGATCTGACTTTGTTGCTCTCTTTTCCGCCCAAATATCTTTCTAACCTTTTACAGCAAGCACCAAGGAATGAAGAAGAGAGAGATTTTGCTTCACCATAAAAGCCTTCATTCTTTTATTTTATTATTATTATCGTTAATTTTTTTTGGTACACAAAACAAAATTCTTTTTAACACTTTCTATTTCTATCCGTATCACTATTGGTTGTCTCCAAAAACCAAACATAAACACAGACCCATATGTAAATAGAAAATTATACAATAATCTGAATATCACGTGATTGTATTTTATCAATTATTATTTATTATGATTTTTATATTTCGTTATCATTTAGTATAAATAATTAATATTATTTATTTTTTATTAATTATATTATCATAAAATATCATGTGACGCATAATCTCACAGAGTGAAATAACCATGCTATTATGATTCTCATATTTATTAATCATTTAATATAAATAATTAATATTTTATATACTTTACTAATTATATTATCATAAAATATCAGCATAATTTCACACTGAAATAATTAGGCTATGAGATTGTTTGACATGTGAGTTAATTTTTTACCTTTTTTAACTTGAAATTAAAAAATCTCATTTAAAATAATTTTTTTAATTTTTTTTAAAAAATAAAATAATTATAAATTAAATGTAATATTTTATTTTATTTTATTTTATTAAATTAATCTATTTTATCTTATATAATTATTTTAGTGCAAGAGCATGCCAAACGAAACTATGTAAATGTACCCGACAGACCAAGCAACACACCAACTCCTGGTAATAAGTTCTCATTAACCAACCCCTCTCTCTCTCTCCCCAAAAACAGCCAAAAACAGAGAGAGAGAGAGGAGCACACTTCAGTATCTCATTGGTGGTTTTTTTTCCTTCTATTCCTTGAGAGAAGTCGACTTGGATCTGAAAAAATGGCCAAATGGGTCTGTTTCTCTCTCTCTCTCTCTCTCTCTAGGGTTTGTGGTTTTTATTAATCTTGGCTAAATTTGACAAAATGCCGCCATTTTCGTCCCTATTTACACCTTTTGCTTCTGCCACAAACAAGCTCTTTATATAGAAAGGGTCGCTCTTACTCTGCCTTGGTCTCATTTTATTGTATGTTGGTTTATTCTCTGTGTTTTGTGTTTTTGAAGGTGTGTTTTTGATTGCCCACTATTATCTATCTATATATATATATATATTTGAGGAAAGAGAGAGATTATTATATATAGAGATGGCGAGAGAGAAGATTCAGATCAAGAAGATCGATAACGTAACTGCGAGACAGGTCACCTTCTCCAAGAGACGAAAAGGGCTTTTCAAGAAAGCCGAAGAGCTCTCAGTTCTCTGCGATGCTGACGTTGCTCTCATTATTTTCTCTGCCACCGGCAAGCTCTTCGAGTTCTCCAGCTCCAGGTCTCTCTCTCTCTCTCCTGTCAATCTCACTCTCTCTCTATCTCTCTCTCTCTCTCTCTGTATACATATATATGTATATCTCAGTTGCTTTGCTTTAATGTTAAGGGTCTTTGTTCTATATTCTATCAGATCTACTACAATTCTTGCTTTAATATGAGCTATATAGCATTGGCTTTGAATCTATAATGGCATTGTTGGGTATACTTTTTTTTTTTTTTTAAATAAAAATTTTCTGGGTCAGTGCTTTTGTTTCTGTTTGTGTGGTTTGGTTTAGCTGTAGATGGGAATCTTGCGGCTTGATAGTACTGCAATGGAGATGATGTTGTTTGGTTTGTTTTGTTGTAAATAGTCTGGCTAATGTTTGCTTGTTTTCTTAGAGTTTTTTCCTTAGTTCTTTTCTTCAAGATCTTTTCCTACTCATTTTATTTCTACATCTTAAATTATTATCAACTGTATTTTGTTAAGGGTCCTATCAATAAGCATCACAAAACACCAAAATATTTATAACCCCAATACACTTTTCACATGTCTCAAAATATTTTTACACATTTTAATACATTTTTTATAAATATTTTCAACATTAGCATTTTTATTTTATTTTATTTTTGTTATTTTTTAAAGTTATGAAGTCAGAAAAATAGCTTGAAAAGTGATAAGAAAATAAAGTGCATGACTGCTAATATTTGCTTGCTTTCTTCAAAGATCTTTTCCTACTCATTTTATTTTTAAACTCAAATTAGAAAAATGCTAAGCTACCAAAATTTTTATAACAATGACGGGTTCACAAGAAACCAAATATTGCTGGGTAAATTTTTTGTTTAGTTATTATTATTATTATTATTTGTGTCTTTAGCTCTACTTCTCAAATTATTGTCATTGCTATTTTGATAGTTTCTGCTCCTCAAACCAATGTAAAAGGATAGAGTAGGGTCTTTTATTAAAGCTGTTACACATGCATGGATAGAAAGAGACAGAAGGGATAAGCGAATAGACGATTGCATTAAAGAACACATTATTGTGCTATAGAAGTGTACTCAAGACAAAAGCTTTATTATTTGCTATGTTATGCAATTATTCAATACAGAATGTGTTGAAATTGAAGTTTGGGATAGCTATGGAACGCGTGAATGTTGACGAAGTTGGAGAAGTATGATTATCAAAACACTAACCGCTATTATAACATCTGCAAATTTGAATTGTTTTCAAATCTAGTACTTGGGTGTTGTTGGGTTTTTGTCCATGTTGTCCAAGTGGGAAAATTAAAAACTAGGCAATAGTTGAAAATCTAGTACTTGGGTGTTGGGTTTTTGTCCATGTGGTCCAAGTGGGAAAATTAAAAACTAGGCAATAGTTGAATTGATTGCACAACAGTATTTCCTTTGGTGATCAGTAATCCACGAGATCGAAGTTGGTTGTCTGGAATTCTTTTGGTAATCAGGTATTCCATGACAGCTAAGTTGGTGGACTGTCAAAAACAGGAGGAATTGGTTGGGAGATAACTACCCTTATGAATAGCTTTATTATGACCGCATTATCTACAATTATTATGGCACTATTACTATGCATAAAGTATGTTTTTTGTATTTTTGTGATATATATATATATATATATATTAGAATTATATGTGTATTTGAGTTGGGTTGTGGAAGTCACTAAGGAATCCAATATTTATAGAATATATAGATACATTGTATGGGCATTAGGATTTCTAAAATTTGCCTATAAATAGAAACTTCGTGAGAATTTTAGGAGAAGTGACAGAGAAGGTTGGGTTGTGGAGAGGAAGGAATGGGTTTGTGCACTATCCTTCATTGCTTTTTTGTGCCTCAACCCTCTTTCTTGGCAGCCCCATTGAGTACTCCTCATTTGTACTCCCATTTGATCCATTGTTTCCAAGGGCATCCACTCATGATCACACAACCCTTGTGCTCTAGTATGCACCCTTTTTATTTTCTTTCATTTTTTTTTTTCAGCAAAGAAGAAGCATTTTATTCATAAATGCAAAAAGAACATTAAAAGACACCAGAACAAGAAAACCAAGGTGATAACATTGCATCATTGGTAGTGGAACATATCTCAACTAGGTTGACACTGGAGCCACTAGCACAATCATGTGCAAACACCAAGGTAATTGCACTAAACGTTGCGAGACACCAACAGAAAGCCATAAAAAGAAAATAGCACCAGCATTAAACAGAACAAAACAGCAACCAGCACTGCCACTGCTGCCTCAGTTTTATGAGTATTACCTTAAGATAAGGAAAATACTATTCTTAGAATTTTTGTATTTTATTTTTTTATATAGAATTAAATACTATTCGTAGAATAATTTTTATTGAATTATTCACTAGAATAATGTGATGGTGGCATTTTTAATATTAAAACCCATCTGGATGAGTTTTTATTTTAAAATGATAGGTCAACAACTCATTCATGGTATTCTATGTGTTTTTTCTTTGTATATGATTACTGTTAAGATAAAATACTTTATTCACCTGTATCCTCCAAGAAGGTGTATCTTGCTAAGCAATGCAGTTTTACTCCTATTCTGCAGTTTTCGTTAAATTAAGATATCATCTAATAACATTTCTTGCAGTTGTATGTCCCATTATCTCCTTTGCAATCTTACTGTGTAAAGATTGCATGCCCGTCATCATCCCGTCTATGCTGCAAGTGTACATTGGCTGATCTTGAAACTTAAACACAAGATTTGCTGCTATTGATTGGTTATTGTGCTTGAACAGGCATCAGAACTTAGTCATTCATTGATGTACACTATGTGTGGGGTTTAAGCTGAAATATCTTTTTGACTTATGTCGTGTGAATGGGTGCGCTGTTTATTAATGAGCTATCCACCAAATTAAATATTGGCTAATGATTGACAAACTAATCTTGTTGTGTCTAGAACTTGATTCTGAATATTCATAGTTATATAATATTTTGTTCAATATGCATTTCATTGTTGCATTGCCACATTCCATTTATTGCTATATTCTCAATGCTATTTGAATTAATTGTTTGCATTATGTTGTGCCTTGCGCTTAAGCTCTAGGAGAACTTGTTGTGTTAATAGTGATTACAACAAGAAGGTTGATTGTTGCTTTTAATCCTATCCCTTTGCCTTTTTTTCTTCTTCTTTCTAACTGTTGTTTTAAACATGTCATGTTATTATTTGACTTTAATTTCTTGTTATGCATTTATACTCAATTGCATTTGACCTCAGTTATGTCAAACATGTGAGCAACATATAGTAAGTACATTTTAAACTTCTTTTTCATTCTGAAGCATGACGGAAATACTTGAAAGGCGTAATTTGCACTCAAAGAATCTTGATAAGCTGGACCAACCTTCTCTTGAGCTGCAGGTAAGTTTTTTTTTTTAAATTGTTTTTAGGCAACATTTTTGTAGGGTACCATTCTATGATGGTTCTATCATGTGGCCTCAACAGGGGTATCAAATTGGTGTTTAGTTGCTTAGTGATTTTGGAAGGTTACCTTTCAGTATAATGCCAAGGATACAAACATATGTCATATGATCTATTTCCTACCATCCATGGCTTATTTACCAACCTATTGCTTTTCCTTTACCTTTTTTTTAAAAAAAAAAATTTAGTAAGTACATTTTAAACTTCTTTTTCATTCTGAAGCATGACGGAAATACTTGAAAGGCGTAATTTGCACTCAAAGAATCTTGATAAGCTGGACCAACCTTCTCTTGAGCTGCAGGTAAGTTTTTTTTTTTTTTTTAAATTGTTTCTAGGCAACATTTTTGTAGGGTACCATTCCATGATGGTTCTATCATGTGGCCTCGACAGGGGTATATAGGATGTACACAAATTGGTGTTTAGTTGCTTAGTGATTTTGGAAGGTTACCTTTCAGTATAATGTCAAGGATACAAACATATGTCATATGATCTATTTCCTACCATCCATGGCTGATTTACCAACCTATTGCTTTTCCTTTACCTTTTTTATAAAAAAAATTTTTTTTGTTGCAAAAAACTTATTTACCTTATTTATTAAAGAACGAGAAAATAATTATTGCAGCTTGTAGAGAACAGCAACTTCTCCAGATTAAGCAAGGAAGTGGCAGAGAAAAGTCATCAATTGAGGTATATGTTTGTATCATTATATATATATTTTAATTCTGATGTTAGTCTGTATGGAATATAATGGTTTAAAAACAGGCAGATGAGGGGAGAGGAGCTCCCAGGGTTAAGTATTGAAGAACTACAGCAGCTCGAGAGGTCCCTCGAAGCTGGGTTGAGCCATGTGATTGGGAAAAAGGTCTATTTTCTATTTGTTTTGTGTCCATGTTGTATGGTACTAATACAGTCAGAACTTTTACATTGATGATGATCTTCTCTTCACAAATATACATTTTCATGTGGCAGGGTGAAAAAATTATGAAAGAGATCAGTAACCTTCAGCAAAAGGTCAGAAATCGAACTTTGTAATATTGTAAAACCATTTGTTGGAAATTTTCTGCCTGTTTGCATGATGTACCCTTTTTAGTAGATTATATGTTATGGAATTTTTCGTTTAGGTTTGTTGCACCTTTTAGTCTCCCACATCATGATAACATACATTAAAATAGGTTAGTTTGCATGTTTAGGTTTTAGCATGGTTTTAGCCAAAAATTTTGCATGTTTCATGAATTTAAAGTTGTTGGAATTTCTGGCTTGAATGCCTATTTTGCCTTGTTTGGTGCGGCATTAGGAATTGTATGCAAGCTCACTAGTTAAATGTTTAGGATTTTTTTTTTCTTCAGCTTAAATGCGTAGGACTTTTTTTTCCAGCTTAAATGTTTAGGACTTTGATTGTGTGATTCCTCTTTATTTTGATATTGTTTATTTTAATTTATTTTTGTTGAAAATTGCTGTTGTTGTCATGATTTGTTGCTTTACTATTTGTGAGAACCAATTTTGGTTCATTCTTTCTTGGGAATTTATCAATAAGGTATGTGCTCTCTTCATTCTCTCTATCTTTACATAACATGATTTCTAAAAGATTGCGTGTGATCGGATATGTTTGCATTGAAGAGCGATGAATGTTTTCTTCACACATGCATCTCGTTTTTTGATGCTATGGATCAGTGGGTGAAAAAGCTGTGGAAAAGATTAAAAAAATCAGGAGTGCATGCTTTGGGTTTGGGTGTTTTAGCTTTGGGTTGTGTGGGTTGATTTGTGGCGATTCATGTTTTTTTATTTTTATTTTTGGAGTCAAGTTCTTCTTAACTTTTTTTTTTTAAGGTTTGTTTTTTTAAAAAATCGTAAGGACGAGAGGTTGGTTGTATGGATGCGAATAGCAGTAGTAGGGGTAGTTTGCACTTTTCGGATCTATCTCGATGCATGTCAGCTTCCTGTACCTCTAATTTCATGTTTTTAATGAAATTTTTACTTTGCTGATAAAAAAAAAATGTTTGCTTTGAAAAGTATCACTTAGCATAATCAGGGTTGGACAATTTTTTGCATGAACCACCTTTTCAGTAAAAAAATTTTTGGAAAATTTTGTTTTAGAGAAATAGTTTTTGTAAAGTTCATATTGGGGAGGGTTGGTTTTAAAAACATTATTTTTTGTGAAAAATCTTCTTTTAGGAAGTTCTCTTTTGGAAAGTGCAAGATAAGAAAGTTGCCTAATCCAATTTAAAGAAAGTTATGGGCTTAGAAGTTTCTTATCTTGTTTGCTTTCTTCCATTGCTTATTGTTTCAATTGTTTACTTGCTTGATTGTCTATTGAAGCTTTAATTCACAAACAAATGATTGATCATATCTACCTCCTTCTTACCTTGTGTTTAGTTTCCAAACTAAGTTATCTTGTGATTAAGGGTAAGTCTTTCTAATAGAGTCATACGGAATATGATTTCTTAGAACCTTAAACCAAGCGGCAACTTTGAGTTAATTACTGTAAGCATTGCTCTTGTAATCTCAAGGTTCTTTTTTTACTAAGCCATTTAGACCCTAGTGGACTTTTGGACTTGTGGGCTTCCAATTGCTAAAAGATCCAATGCTTAGTGGACATTTAGCTTTGTTTGCTAGTGGTTGAGTAAGGACTTAATGGGCTTGAGGAGTTTATCAAGTGCAAGCCTTCAAGAGCCATATCCTCGCATATGTTTTGACCATTGTGAATTGTGATTGGTTAGCTCTGTCTTTTTTTTGGTTTTTTTTTTTTTTTTTTTAAAAAATTAAAGCCTCCTCATCATTTGATAAACATGCAGGAAATGGAACTCATGGAAGAGAACGAGAGATTGAGACAACAAGTATATATGAATTGCCATTAAACTCTGGTTCTATTGAATGTATAATTTTTGCTCCATAAATGTTAATTGTAATGTTTGGCTGAAGGTGAAGGAGGTATCTAATGCTCGAAAACACGTTGCCGTTGCGACTGATTCGGAGAATATGTACATAAATGAGGAAGGTCAGTCATCTGAGTCGGTCAATATCTGCAACTCCACCAGCCCTCCACAAGACTATGACAGCTCAGTCACGTCCCTCAAGTTGGGGTGAGTTTTCTAAATTTGCTGTGAAAGCCCACCAATAAATGTTACGTTTGGACATTGGATATTTAAAATAATTTTTTTTTAGAGAAATGAAAATACTTGCAGTTCATTGACAAATTCCTACATCTCTATTGTACCATTTGAGCCATTTTTTGAAGCTTTGCATACAGGTTCAGAGAAGACTGCTATCAAACAGAGTTTTACTACAACTCAAGATTTCACTCTTATAATTACTTATCGTTTTTTGTTGAGAAAATAAACCCCTTTATGGGTAATCAAATAAAAAGTACTTTTTTGAAGGTATAGAATTTAAACATATAGTGTTGATTTAAATTTGATGTGGTGTGGATCACGCCTAAGATAAATCTAATCCACACATTTTGAATTATGGATAATTTTTTGTGTTTATTTTGTTGGGTAGGAAGGATTATTATTATTATTGTTTTTTTTGTTTTCCTTTCTTTTTCTTTCTCATTTTTCTTATCCAATAATAAATTTATTTTATTTTATTTATTTATTACTTTCATTTTCTAATACAAATTCAATGTCCTAGCATAACACAAGTTCAATTTGTCTCTAATAGAGATTCAAATGAAGAGAACCCAGACCATTCACACACTCCTTTTTATACATTCTTCTACAGTAGAAATTGCTCTCTCTCAACAATGCTGTTTTTGTTTTTGAATTTTGGATTTTACTGATTGCAGGTTACCCTACTCCGGCTGAAAGGAAAGCAGAAAGGTGTTTATTTGGAGAGGAAGACGGTGACTGTCGCCTATATAGTTGTAAAGAATGAGTGATGTCAAATGGAATGCAAAACTAATCCTAACAGTTTTTAGTAACATGATTTATGAGTGTAGTATTTGACAGCTATTCTATCTGATGCTAATATGCATGGAGTGGAATTGAGCTAGCTTGCACTGTGTCTTGCTCTTCTGCTCCCCAAATTGTCACTAGTTTTTTTTTTTTTTTTCCCTTAAATGTGAATTGTCGTTTGGAAATCAACTATATTTGGGCCAAGCATGTTCTGCACTCAACTCTATTTGATGTGTTACTCAACGCATTGCCAGCAGACTCCCAAAAAATGCAATTCCAATTGTTTATCGCGATGAAAAATTCAAAAATGAAAACTTTATAACCCAATCATGTAATTGAAAATGTATAAAGCATAGGGATTATGAAATTTGAAATAGAGGATCCGTGATCCCATAACATTAGTTTGAACGGATTCATTAATATCTCGTAAAGTGTTTTCTAACAAAGTCAAATAACGAAAAACAATGGAAAATTACTAACGTTAGGGTTTGATCAAATGCATTTGATAGAAAATCATCAAGAAAATAGTAGATACACATCTTGAACTCTCCACCGAAACCAATTAAATGCATCCAAAACGAAGCAAAAATATACCAAAGTTATTGCTTCAAGAATGTTTTCTTTTTTAATTGAACCAATGAAGTTTTGTCAATGTGTGATAAAGATGATAAATTTGTAGTGCATTACTCAAGGGTTTAATAGCTTATCCTCAAATTAAATTGATAGAATAACAAAAAAATGTATTTGTAAGAATTCATCGGGAACTTTTTTTCTTGAATCCATGAGATGATATGATAATGACTACTTAAAAATTGGCAAGTTTAGTACAAATTTTAATGAATTAATATTCACATGTCATAATTTAGTAGTCTTTTGAGAAGATGGTTAAAAAGTTATTTTTTAATTTTAACTTATTTTGAATCTTATAATCTCTCACATTTTTTCAAAAAATTTTTAAAAAATCAAAAAATTAATTTTTAACAACCATCCCAAAGTAAGTCTCACTTTAAACAACTCACAAAATGACAAAGTGGGAAGGGGAGGTAGTTATGGTGTGCATTAGTTGTATGCATTTAAAATGAATTAAAAATACAAAACCAAGTACTATTTTCGAGACATGGATGTAATTTGACTCACAAAATGACAAAGTGGGAGGGGAGGTAGTTATTGTGTGCATTAGTTGTATGCATTTAAAATGATTTAAAAATACAAAAGCAAGTACTATTTTCGAGACATGAATATAATTTGATTAATATTGTTGAGTTGAACTAGGGTGAGTGGCAAGCTGGTAAGGGTTTGGGGTTTAAGTCCATAGGTTTTGGGTTCAACTCCCTTCTGGGCTAATCTCTTGGGCGTAGTATAGTTGGTTAGGAGGTTGACCTCAAGAAAGCCTTATCAGTTACTTGGTGTGGGTTTAATTCTCCCCCGCTGTGCGAGTCCTAACTTAAGCGGAGCTTGCCTTTGGAGGTCGGGACAAGCTTCTAGGTTATAGTCTCTTACTCGGAACGGACAACAGAACACCCTGGTGATCTCCTCGGGAGGTCGGGACAAGCTTCCAGGTTATAGTCTCTTACTCGGAACGGACTTGGGAGGTCGGGACAAGCTTCCAGGTTATAGTCTCTTACTCGGAACGGACAACAGGACACCTTGGTGATCTCCTCAAGGGGCGCTGCCTTGGACCTGCGAGAGAGTGGGAGGATTTTCCTGTAACAAAAAAAAATAATAATAATAATATTGTTGAGTTGTATTTTATTCACATTATGACTCTGTTTGTTTTAATATAAAATATTTTATATAAAAATGTATTGTTTTTATTTTTTGATGTTTGGTTGACATTTAAAATAAAAATATTTTATTGTCTAAAAGAGAAATTTCGATTTCGGTCTCGTTTGGGAACAAGTTATTAGTTCCGTTTGGGAAGTGCGTTGGCTTTTTGATTTTTTGATTTTTTTAGCTATTTTAGCTTGGGGCTAAAAAACTTAGTTTGGGAAGGACTTTTGGTTTTTTTGATTTTTTTAATTTTTTTGTAAGAAAAAAAATGTAATGATTATGGGTTGGATGTGATGTTTTGTTTTATTGGGCTAAAAAGCCTATTTTGTTTTTTTGGCTATTTTAGCCCAAAAAACCTTTAAACCAACTTCCCAAACGGAGATTAACTTTTTGGCTTTTCAAAAAAAAAAAAGAAAGAAAGAAATAAAGAAATCACATAGTGTTGTGGTAGTGCGTATGGATTTGTGTTTAAAGTGGAATATCTTGGGGCATAGATAAAGTAAAGAAAGTTTGAGTGGGGGACAAAAAAAAAAAAAACGGCTAAGGTGTGGGTTGGATAGAGAGAGATGGGATTTTTTTTTTTTTTTGTTTTTTTTTTTGTTTTTTTTTGAACCCGTCAAAAAATAAAATAAAATAAACAATAATAATAATAAATAGGTATGGAGTGGGTGATAAAAAAAAAGAAAAGAAAAGAAAGTGGATGCCCCCATGTGCTGTCTTCTACGTGTGGAGTGTGTGCCCATGTGAAGGCCAAGCTTTTCAGTGTGGGCATTCCAAAAGATGCTGGGAAAAGGCAGGTTCACACAACTGGTCGATCTTCTGGTCAATGGTGCATGGGCCCAGATGGAAAGGGAGTAAGTTGAAGGCCTTTCTATGTATTCTAAATATTGTTCATTCAAATTTTATTTGCAATTATTGCAGTTTTGAGTTCATTCTCTTTGTTGATAAGTTTAAGTACAAGAGGCCATACAAGTGGGGTCTGTTATGCATAGATCTAAAACAGTTGTCACAATAAACGCTGTATGGTGGGTATTTGTTGGTAGTAAAAAGATATGAGTGATCTGGAGTTCCTAGAAAACCATTTCTGGTAGTGTTGGTCGAATTTTTGAAAATAAAGGTATCGTTTATGTAGATCATGGCATTGCATACTCATAATTGAAAGCCTTGTGCATTTTGGTGTAAAACCTTGAATGCAGGGTTCACTTGATTGGGAAGAATAAGAATTCTATCGGTCTGATTTAATTCTAGCTGTGTACGAGTTTATACATGTCTTACTCATTTTGCTGTTTTGGCATTTACAGGTATTTGTTTTTGTTGCTTTTGACTTTTAATTGCATGTCTCTCTGTTTACAATTTACTATAATAATCCATTTTTTTTAATCTTCTTCAGGTTTATGCGTCTGAAAATGGGCTGGAGTTGATGGGTAAAATTGCATACAGACATTACAGGAAGGTACACTTCACTTATGTTTTCTCTGATACCTTCTTCCATGAACAATCATGCCTGCACTCATTATTTTCTGTATTTCTTATCGGCTTGATGGTGCTCCAGCTCAATGTAGATCACATTCTTCTCCCTTAATATCTTCTGTTGATTCATTACTTTTGAGTTTTTGAGTAGTTGTGCCTTGTTTGTCGCATGAATTGTGATTCAACTACTAAAAGCACAACATTCAAATGTAGTTCTGAAGTTTGCACAATTTATTCATTTATTTACTTTGAATAACAAGCATGACTTATAGTCAAGGCGTGTAAATTAAACCTTTCTAACCCTAGTTAACCTTCAGAATCCGGACTAAGAGGTTACCAATCATTGCGCTTCTTGTGTTTAATATATATTTGCTGCTGACAGGAGAGTGGAGCTGGGTTTAGAGTGTTAAGAAATAGTACTGCCATGAAGAAGACAATTGTTATGAAGAAGAAAGCAACTGCCAAGAAGAAATAAAAGCTTGAGCTGCAGGGCAATTATGTATTCTTACTACCATTTTATGTGCCATTCCTATTAGTATATATAATTCAACTAGCGGGCTGCACATGCAATGTGTGTGCAATTTAAAAAAATGTCGTAGTATAAGAATAATGATAAACAAAAATATACATATAGTATTTGTTCCTCAAGTAGAAAGGCCTTGCTTTGTCAAACTCATGATTTCAGTTTCAA